ACTTGTATTTAATAATTAAAGTTATCATTTTATTCCCAAAATCAGCATTAAAATTAAAAAAGTTTAATTAAACCATAATTCTAATTTTATTCCAAATTTTAATTGAAAATTTAGATTCTCATTTTATTCTCAAAATTGAAATTGAAACTAAAATTAAAAATAAGATTTTTAATTCAAAATACGGCACGCTGCCTGATAGTGAGAAATTAAGGGCATAAAAAAATTGCTACAATATTAAAAAGGCATACAAAGAAGTAAAAATAATAATACTGCCCTGATGATACAGTTAACATTTTTACCGTGCGATTCTCTACCGTGATACAGTATCAAGTCTCTAAATTTGACAGAGACAATTTTTGAGACTTGAGACGATTTTGCTATTCTGTAAGTGATAGTCACAAACTCTATTACACTTCATTATTCAGAGATGTTTTTATACTTCAATGGAAATAAATATGTCGATAACAAATATTAAATTTTCTATAACATAGTCAAAAAACATAATTATCAGTAAAAACATAAATATATGTTCACTTTGTTTCATAATATTAACGAAATTTATGTAAAATTTATTTATTTTTAACCTTTTCGTGTTTGAGTTGCTAACAAAATATGCAATCGATTAATATCTATGATGATCTCTATTCATTATATTCAAAATGGCAGACACGAGTTCTTTTTGGTTTTGTGACTTGCTAACTACCAGGTCTCAAATTTGAGGCAATATTTTAAGACTAAAGTTAGAGACTATTTAGTGAATAGTAACTAGTCACAAATTGAGATTTTACCACAAAATGTCTCAAATAGAGACTAGAGACTGATTACAGAATCCCGCTATTAGTATAAGTAAACGCAAGCCTCCAAGTGCGAGCACAGGAGTTATTCTTTTCTATGGCCTCACAAAGGACTATTTATAGCAGTTCACGTGCGATTTCTCTAAATCAGACATCTAACCTAACCCAACCTCCATGAACCATTTTTGAAATTGACCGAGCTAACGCCGCAACAGTACCACTAATTAAACCGAGTATACTTTAGGGAAAAAAATTTTAAAGTCCCATATTGGCCTTAAGATTGAAATCCATATCGATTTTAGTTTTAATTTGCTTCCCAACTTATTATTTATTGGATAACTGGATACTGGAATCTTTGTATGAGTTTCCATGATTCAATTCATGGAGGATTCAGGATTCAAACAGAATCAACAAAGGATAGAGATATTTGTACAGAGCATGCTGACGGAACTTGAATGAATCCATAGTACCTTTTTTAGAACTTAGATCTAACAAAGTGGTTATTCTTTTATATTAATGATAATTAATTAAAACTGGCTACACTAGTATGCTGTTGTATAATACTAGAGAATACTAGAGTATTCAATAAAGCCAAAGGAAAAATTTGGTTGAAAAACGAACAGAATATAGTGATTTAGACTTTCATTACACTCGCACAAAAATCATAAATATTATCAAATAACGGTAATTTTTGCAACATAATTATTTATTGTTGGAACGTATGC